TACATAGTATGAGTGTAAGCCGGTTTTTTTGTGTAATCTAAAATAACGTGACTTTCTGTTTTTCAAGTTTCTCAGTTCTTTAGTGAACCATAACTGTGTTTGTTCTACAGGAACACACATGCGTTTAGGCAAATACTTTTCAAATAATCTATGTACAGTAAAATTAAAATGTGCAACGCTTTGCTCAACTTTTTCTTTGTATATAGGCCACGACAATTTAGACAATTCTTTATTCAGTTTTTTAAAGTTGGCTTTCGAAAAATCAAAGCGAATATTTGGTTCGTATGTTTGGACATCGCAATTTTGACCATCGTTTATAATTTCGTAAGATATCTCAATAGCAGGGTGGTAGACATCTTCGGGCAAAACTAGTGGGTCACATTTATTTACAGCCGACTTAGATGCATCATCAACATAAACAAGATCTAATACTTTGCCAAACTTATTGCGAAGTACATTAACTTGATTCAGGCAGAGTTCAGCCATCTCCTCTAAAAATACGTTGTTGCACGCGCTAGACGAGAAAGGTACAATATCATTGTCAATGATGTTCCATGATACATTTGGTAAATTAAAGTCACCCAACACAATCAATGAATCAGAGGGTTTAATCATTGAATTAATTGATTTCAGTAAAGATACATGTTGTGAATACACTGATAAGTCAGATCGGGGAGGAATATAGCATAGAGCTAAGTAAGTAAACCCCCTTCCAACCTGAACACGAATGCATTTGAATTCTGCAGATTCAATGTGTGGAAGACTAACTTCTTCAGATGGTATTGAAGAGTCTACGGCAAAGAGTACGCCACCGCCGACTCTGTCCTCCCGATCTTTTCTGTAGATATGATAATTATTTGAAAGAATCTCTGAATTAAAAGTGTGAGGTTTGAGCCAAGTTTCAGTCAAAGAAATTATATTATAATTGCATTCAAGGCCATTAAGATATAAATTCGTTAATTTAGTATTTATGCCTCTTACGTTTTGATAATAAATACTTAAAGCAGATTTAGTAATCAGTTTTTTGGTTCTGTATTCTGACGGGGAATATTTGCTAAATTATTATTTTTGTTGGGCCTATACTCAAATTCACGAACGAAAGCTCCGGAGGGCCAAAAAGAACTACTAAGCAGCATGTCAAAATTTTCTAAATTTACGTCTATTTTAAATGAAGAAATATTTCTTTCATATTTAAAATTAAATTTTCTGATACTTAAGTTGACAGTTTTAACTTTGGACGAGATGTAAAACTTTATATCGTCCTCGGAAGTATCCCTCGAAAATCTAGATACAAATATAGACTTCTTTGGGGGAACCACAACCAGTCTCCTAGTATCAGACTCGATTACCGGCGGACGGGGTTGAGTAACTGAGTTACTAATTGAGGGTAGAGTAAGCGTTGGAAGATTAGATGGCGGTGCCACAACTTCAACGGGGGACGGGGAAGATACTGCAGGGTCGTTATTATTAGAAGCAGACTTTGATATATGTTCTTTTGAGGAAGATAACTCCGTTGTCTGTGGACATGGAGAAGAAAGATTAATTAAGTCATTCGGAAGATTGTTCTGACGTGGAACGGTCCTTTCATTAGGCGGACTATGAAGACGCTTACGTTTTGACACATGAATGTCCTTCATAGATTGTACGGTATCTAAGCATTTAAAAGATTTAAATACATTTTCGTAATGTTTAAATTTTTCGGTCAGTACCGACAACTCTCTCCCTACCTCAGAAAACCCATTTCTGGTTTGCCTAAACAACTTAAAGAGATCAACTTCGGTTGACCTGCACTTTAAGCAAGACCAGCGAAGACCTTTGCCATCATTAATAGCGTCCAGAATTCTTCCTGTCAAACCAGCACATTTTAGATGGCAAATACCATCACAGAGCCAGCACGATAAGTAGCGTTCAGATTCGCTTTTAATTTGGCAGTTATCAAGATCACACTTCATATTGAAAGATTTAATAACACTTATGTTAATAAAAAGACAAGCAAAATAAGTTTAACACAACACACACAACAATTTAGGAGCTGATGTATTTAGCTTAAAAATATATGTAGCGAACAGTTTGAGTATCACTGTATTCTGACACTTAATAAACGCAGCGCAAACAGCTGTGACAAGAAATACTAAACGAAGTAAACAAAAAGAGCAAAAAGAAATCTGAAAAAATAGAAACGATCTCAGTTAACTACAAAGGAATAACAACAACAATGATAACAACAAATGACTCGGCAAGATTAGATGTAAGCTAGTGAAATTTAATTAAATTTAATATAAACCACAAAAATCACAAAACTTTCACTTAGCTTCGATTATTATCACACTAAGATGCTCGTAGGCACTTTTTATAGCAACTTTTACTCAGAATTAGCACAATAAACTTTGCAAAATACAAAGACAAATCAGAGCGCAATATAAGTAGAACTTCACAGCTTGACGTTTGCTTATGTGAGAGTCACTTTTTCTTCCTGCAAGGTCATTAAAAGTGTCAAACGATAGTCAGGGTTGCATTTGTAAACAAAAACAGAAAGCAAAGAGCATTAAGCGCCACAGAGACAACTAAATAAATACGTCAAGCGTTGCGTATGTGTGAGGTTGGCTCGTGTCTTGTCCGCAAATGTTCAAATAAACTCGTCGATTCAACAAACAATTTATTTTTCTTGTCCGCGCACTTGTTTACCATGACGATCATAAGGCAAGTGCGCTTGTTTTTGTCAAGCATAACGCGAGGCGGTTGATAAAGATATTTGATCGTCCCCATGGTGCTTTACATTAAAAAAAATGGAAGAAGTTCCAAGAAAATTGGTTTTTCGCGTTCCAGGTGACTTTGATTGTTTCGATCTCGCTCCTCTCTTTCAAGAGAGTAATTTTGTTATTTGACAGTTTTACAGGTTTTTACACGAAGTTATCTGGAACGCAACTCCTGATATTAAACTTTAAAGAGTAGTAGAGTATCGCTACTTTCGCTTTGATATCGTGTACTGCCAATTACGCAGTTCGCTTCTGAATTACTTTGGAGAATTACCCCCGTTTACACGACTCATTCCAAATTCGATTTGACAATTCATTGTGTTTTTCCTTCATTTCTCCCTCTCTTTGTTTTGATTTTTTCTGTTCTCTCATGCTCTGACAGCTGAGTTCGACAAATTTCCGATTAGAATTAGAAACAGGATAGATTTTTCGTAATTCGCATGGTAATTGGATCTGAATTACCTACTGTAGGAAGCGCATATAAAAGTGAATGTAGAAATGGTGATAATAGACATCAACAGCAGTATCAGCCAATTCAGCAGCACAACATTCACAGGCTCTTATCAGTTGTAGAACACGGCATTTCATTAAGTGTGAAATTAAAAGCTGCATCAGTTGAGACTACAATAAAACCAACAATTCAAAATTTTTGAACCTATATTCGAGTGTGCTGTTCATAATAGTAGCATATTAACATTTTTAAAATTTTCGATAATTGTTTTGACTTTATAATTTAGTACAATTTTAATACATTATTATTTCACGTATTTCAAATATTTTATTAATTGTAAATACCCACTTTTTTTGGGTGTAGAGCCAAATGGCCTGCGGCCTTTACGGCCTTTAAACCTGAACGGTAACGACCATGGCTTCGTCCTCTGACTACGATTCTGAAAACGTTTTGGATTTGTCGATCCCTGAGCTGGTGGTTGTGGTATTCTAACACCTGAGTATGCTGAGGTGACACTCAGAAGAAATGGCTGGTGGGCTAATGCCCCAACTGCCCCCGTCCCGTTAAAACGCTGGCAGGCCTTAGAGTACGTTCCAGTTCCGGTCGCCGTTAAGTTCGTGGTGTAGGTGCGGTTGAGATGACTCTCGTCTTGGCGCTGGTCGGCTCCGAACTCATGATCCCATAAGGGCATGTCTCAACCCTCGCCATGGTCTTGTTCAGAGATAGCTATGGGACCATTCAAAGGCGAATACGCGCTCGGGTTTTGGATATCTGCTCTGAGTGGGGAACCAGTGAAATGAAATGAAAATGAAAGATAATGAAAATTAAAAATCAAAAAAAACATAAGTTTTCGAGCGGTGGTGGGGGGTCGAAACCGATCCCCAAAGCCGGCTCATCCGGGAGGTTCGTTCTTTTTACCAGGAGGTACCAAAAGCCGCAAGCCCAGCTCTCCTCAATAGGGGGTGTTTCACTAGTTTTCTCTGACAGGGTCAAGTTCTTGGGCGCGATTCTGGACGGGAAGTTGTCATGGAATCCAGATATTGAGGAACGAGTAAAGAAGGCATCAGTGGCTCTCGACTACGGCAAGAATGCCATGGGATCATTGTCTGGTGGAGTTCACTGGAAAATACAACTCATGTTAGGAGACTAGAGTGCGTGCAAAGGGCGGACCACTCCTACTCTAGCGCTAAACGCCATGCTCAATGTCGCACCTGTCGACATTGCGGGCAAAGTAGTGGTGGTTCGCTCAGCCCTTAGGCTCAAAGGCTATGGGTTCTCTTTCAACCCAGCGCACAGGTACTCGACAATTCTCGAAACCTTCGACTTCCTGTCGGAACAAGTGGACACACTTGTTTTTAATCGCTCCACCGAGAAATTATTAATAATTCACGTAAAGCAAAGAAAAAAAAACATAACCAACGCGAAAAGACAATACTAGGCATAAATAAGCTTTCTGCTTATTTGTCTATAATTATAAATTACTTTTTCTGATTTTTCGCAATGCCGCGAGAAATTCAAATAAATGTGCCAACATACAATAAAATAAAAGCAGCTCCGGCCCCACCGCGCTTACCGAATAGTGAAACAAGCACCAAGTGCAGTGAAATAAACCTTGCCGTAACAGAAGCTGACCAAAAGCATTCAGCTGATCGACAAAATGCTTACTTTTCGTTCGTTTCCCCCACAAACAATGCTTAGCAATAAGCATAGTAATAACGGTGAGCGCAGCTCTCCCAACAACGACTACAACCACGANTCCCTCCCCCCGAACACCTTGGCATGCACAGTCACCAATGTCTCTGGTAGACCAAGTTGTTCTAGCGCAACAACAAAGCACTAGCTTAGCAATAAGCACAGTAACAACGGTGAGCGCAGCTCTTACAACAACGACTACAACCACGAACTCGGCACCAGCCCAAGCCCAGCAACGCAGCTCAGCGCAAGTTGACCTACTTAATCCAACAACCCGTACATTGACTCAAACGGGTATTGATAGGTATATCTGTACAAGTCAAACGAAAATTAAGCAACAAAAAATTGCAAAGACGAAAACCACTGACATTAACCCTCTACTGGGAAATAAGTTTGCGATTCTGGACAATGAATGTGACAAAGAGCCGAATGAAGTTTCTAAAGCCAAACCCAAACCGCCCCCAATTTATTTACGAGAGCAAAACTGTAGTGAGCTCGTGAATAAATTAACTCAGCTTATTGGAGACAATACGTTCCACGTAACGTCAATTACCAAGGGCAACATTAAAGAGACCAAACTTCAGATTCTAACTGAAGAAAATTACCGGTTGGTAACCAAAAACCTTAATGACGATAAGAAAAACTTCTATACGTACCAGCTCAAAAGCAGCAAAGGACTGCAAGTAGTAATAAAAGGTATAGAATCAAGTGTACCCATTGGTGATATTGCTCATGCTCTAGAGAAGGCAGGATTCGCTGTTAAAAATGTTGTCAATATTATCAACAGAGCAAAAATCGCTCAGCCTATGTTTAAGGTAGAACTTAAGCCAATGAATAAAAACGCAGTGCACCCAATCTACAACCTACGATACCTTCTACACCGAAGAATAACAGTGGAGGAGCCGCACAAGCGAAACGGTCCCGTACAGTGCACAAATTGCCTATGTTTAAGGTAGAACAAAGCCAATGAATAAAAACGCAGTGCACCCAATCTACAACCTACGATACCTTCTACACCGAAGAATAACGGTCCCGTACAGTGCACAAATTGTCAAGAATTCGGGCATACCAGAACATACTATACCTTGCGTCCAGTGTGTGTTGCCTGTGGCGACCTTCACACTTCCGCTTCTTGCAAGGCTATCAAAGCTGATGTGGCTGTAAAGAAATGCAGTAATTGCGGAGGTAACCACACCACCAATTATAGCGGATGCCCTGTATACAAAGAGTTAAAGTCTCGCATGAATCAGCGCAACACAGCCGTACGCTCTTCCACCACTCCAACTAGCTCTTATACATACCAACACCTCACGCCATCAACCACTACACCAGGAGCCTTTTTTGCCAATGCGCAGCGAGTACCCAACGTTTCTTTTGCCGACGCATTAAAACTACAAACGCAGCCAAGCACGGCGAAATCAAACTCCAATCAAGAAATATTTGCAAATATTCAAAGGAATAATACTGAGCAAATGCTGCCGAACCCACCTACTTGTGGCATAGAAGGAATGATATTGAATCTTACTTAATTGTTGCAAATTTTAGTGAATAAAAAATGAGTGAATTGAAAATTTGCTTATGGAATGCTAACGGTGTAAACCAGCGTAGATTAGAACTCACTCAATTTCTCACTGAATATAAAATAGATGTTATGTACTGTCCGAGACACATTTAACAAATAAATATAATTTCTCCATACCTGGATACATATTCTATGCCACAAATCACCCAGATGGTAAAGCTCATGGAGGCACAGCGGTGCTGATTAGAAATCGCCTAAAGCACAATATTCTAGACTCAAATGCAAAGCCTGTCTGCAAGCAACTACCATATGCTTACGAAACCGCAACCGAGACTTGAATCTATCGGCTACTTATTGCCCACCGCGATTTTTAATTTCTGAAAATGACTTTAAAGATTTCATTGATAGTCTTGGTAATAGATTCCTGGCAGGAGGCGACTTCAACGCAAAGCATACGTACTGGGGATCACGCCTTATTAACCCAAAAGGGCGGCAGTTATACAATACCATTATAAACAGGCACAATAGACTAGAGGTCACGTCTCCTGGTAAACCTACTTACTGGCCCACCGATATAAAGAAGATACCAGACCTAATAGACTTCGCAATTACAAGAAACATATACAGAAATAACATAACAGCAGAAACTCTACCTGAACTATCATCCGATCACTCCCCTATATTAATAAAATTATATGAACAGACCCAAAACATCGAGATTGAGCCTCTCCTAACTTCAAATAACACCAACTGGCTTAAATATAAAAAGTACATCAGTAGTCACCTTAAATTAAACGCTGCACTTAACTGCGAGGGTGATATAGACCCCTTGACGAACATATTAAAGAAACCTTTACTTCAGCCGCTGGCCTGGCAACACCAAATCAAGTCCAAGTACCACCTACGCATACATCAGTTACAAACACCGAAATAGAAAAACTTGTGGCAGAAAAGCGACGCCTAAGAAGACAGTGCCAGAGCCATCGCTCACCAACCTCACAGCTACTGTATAAAGCTGCCAGTAGAAAACTTAAACAAGCACTCAAACGTGCAGAGGATCGCAACTTGCAAAGGTACATTAAGAAACTTTCCCCGAATTCTACTGAAACATACTCTCTATGGAAATCGCTAAAATACTTCAAACCACCAGTGGTTACGGAAATGCCAATTAGGAACCAAAGTGGTACCTGGGCTCGTAGTGAGCAGGAGAGAGCCGAGTGTTTTTCACACTATTTAAAGAATGTGTTTCAGCCAAACTGTCCAACGAACAACTTCAGGCTGCCACCAGTGATCGGACTTCAAAATAAATTTGTGTGGTAGAATCTGGAAAAAAATGTGGTAGATTTAAAAAAAATGTGGTAGATCTCAGGTTTTGGATCAAACTTTGTACAAAAATTAGAACTATTCTGCAAGGTTTCACCTAAATTGCAAACATTTTAGTGAGAATCTAAAAAAAATTAATTATAGTATAATAAACTGCAAGATTGAAGTTGTTAAAAATTGCGTTGAATTTTGGCATCTTTTGGAATCCTTGACAGTGTAAAGCAGTTCCTTCCATATCAAGATATTTTTCGAACATATTTCGAAAGATTTCTGCAACCTTGCGGAGTGCTGCCAGCTTTCCTTTTTATGACATCACGATGTAGCGAACAAATGTGGCACGTTCTCAAGTAAAAGTAAAGAACGCTTTAGAAACTTTAGATGCACTAAACTTTGCTAATACTTTCACAAAAATCTCCGTTTTAATCATTTTCGCTATTAATTCTTTTTATAAATCATATATTTTGCAATTTAACACAATAAAATATTGAGAAAATTTACTATTTTATACCTTATCTTATCCTCACATTTTGCCTGTTGTTAGTGTTTAGTGTTGGACAATTTTTGCTCTTAAAATTAACTAAAACTACTCAAAATCGTGAATATGTGGTAGATTTCATACCTTGTGTGGTAGATGTGGTAGATGCTCAAAAAAGTGGCAGATCTACCACAATGTGGTAGAAGTCCGATCACTGACTGCCACGGCTAACCAAAAATACAAATGAGCTATACACATCTAGCAGGACGANCTCTTTAGAAGTAAAAGCTATAGTAAAGCAGCTTAATCCAAAGAAATCGCCGGGTGCTGATTTTATAACTCCGAAAATGCTAATAGAGCTACCGAATGTTGCACTAGCAATTCTTTCTGACCTTTTCAACGCTATCCTCAAATTCGGTTACTTTCCGAAATCATAGAAAAGGTCGAAGATAATCATAATTGCCAAACCTGGAAAAGACGCAACACAGCCGTCCTCATACAGACCAATAAGCTTACTGCCCTGTCTTTCCAAAGTATTCGAAAAAGTTATCCTATCAATGATATCTCCCTTTCTCCATGAACGCAATTTAATACCAGCACACCAATTTGGTTTCCGAGAAAAACATGGTACAATTGAACAAGTTAATCGAATTACAAATGAAATCAGAAGGGCATTTGAGCTCAGAGAGTACTGCTCTGCAATTTTTCTCGATGTGGCACAAGCATTCGACAAAGTTTGGCACGACGGTCTTATATATAAAATTAAAAAATTGTTGCCGCCGGAATTCTACAAAATATTTGAATCATACATAACTAACAGAAAATTTGCTGTAAAAGTATCTAATTTCACTGCAAAAGACATGTCCATAACGGTTGGCGTTCTTCCAGGTAGTGTACTCGGGCCTATGCTGTATATCATCTACACTTCAGATATTCCAAGTAGCAAGGATATACTCACATCCACCTTCGCTGAAGATACCGCCTTAGTAAGCCGTAATAAATGTCCCAACAGAGCTTCAAGAGTACTAGAGGAACATTTACTACGCATAGAAGAATGGCTGGCAAACTGGCGNCCTTAGTAAGTCGTAATAAATGTCCCAACAGAGCTTCAAGAGTACTAGAGGAACATTTACTACGCATAGAAGAATGGCTGGCAAACTGGCGCATAAAAGTCAACGAACAGAAGTGTAAAAATGCAACATTTTCACTCAGACCGCAAGTATGCCCCCCAATCAAATTAAATAATTTCCATATTCCACAAGCCAATGAGGTGACATATCTAGAAATACTCTTGGATAGGAGACTAACTTGGCGCAAACACATATCAACCAAGATTACACAAATGAAGCTAAAGTCAGCTAGCGTGAACTGGCTTATAAACAGTAAATCAAAACTGAAACTAGATTACAAAGTACTTGTATATAATACAGTCATTAAACCTATATGGATGTATGGTATTCAACTGTGGGGTACGACCTGTGCAACCAACATTGACAGGATCCAAAGATTCCAATCTAAAACGCTAAGGGCCTTAACGGGAGCACCGTGGTATGTCCGCAATGAAAATATACATAGGGACCTTGGTATACCGATGGTTAAATCTGTGTAAAATATAAAATAAAACTGCGTAACCACCCAAATCCACTGGCAAGTGGCCTGTGCAACACAACAAATATAACACGCCTGCGAAGAAGAGATCTACCAGCCTTTCCTTGAGCGAAGTTAAACCAACAGGGCTCAACCCCAGGGTTTGAGCTATATTATTGTAAATTAGACGTAAGATTTTTAAACTTGTTGTTAGGCTTAATCGATGTAAAATAAGCAGATCCAACAAATAAATGCAAGTATAATTAAAAAAAAAAAAGTGGACCGAAACCTCGGGTACGGCTGGCCCCAAAAGGATCCTTCTCGACGCACATCCCTCCAAGGGACGAATGGAGGAGGTGTCTAGTGTAAGGAACTTTCAGCAGATCTTACGTTCAGACTGCCGGATCTCTGCAGCGTTTTTCAGCCCGAGGTGGCCGTTATAAAAGAGGCAGCTGATTGGCTATGCACCAGTGTATTGCCGACAAGGAGGGTAAATATATACACTGAGAGCCAGGCGGCAATCAGGGCGCTGAGATCGCTAATGGTGTGTTCAAAACTGCTCGGAGAATGCCTGACCTCTCTCTCAACTGCCTCGGAATAATTCCAGATGATGCTGATTTAGGTCCCAAGGCATGGAAATTGCAGGGCAGATGAACTAGCTAGACAGGGCACCCTTCGAGGCCATTATCTCGGACAGGGAGGGCATAGGAGTTCCGTTGGCAATCTGCGGTCTGCTCCTGGACAGATGGGCTTACAGTCAGCTCAGTGGGCGCTAGAAAAAACTCCGAATTGCAAAGTTGCAAGGTCCTTCTGGCGGGTTGTGGACCGCGGGCGGTCAAGGGAGCTACTGCAGCTGGCTAAGCGCCAGCTCTCGATTCGTGAGCTTTTTTAATGTAAATTTTATTGGAAATATTAAAGAGAGCTATTAAAAATTTATAATAATTTACCTCATTAATTTTTCTCTTTATAACCGACTTCAAAAAAAGGAGGAGGTTATCAATTCACCGGAATATTTTTTTATATATGTTACCGCATAACTTTGGACCACATTAACCGATTTCTGGTGCGCCATGGGAGGTCCCATACTAATTTGGTTTAGTTCCCATCATTGGATCATGGAGAAATTAACGCTACTTCTAAATTTTTATATGAGAACACAACCGTCTGTTGTTTTTGCTTTAAAATTACTTGTTATTTTAACAATTGAGTTGTACCGAGCCCTAATTTGGAAGGAATTTATATTGCATAAATTTTATTGTGAACTTATTGAAGAGTTAAAATACAAATTTGTTTCCCATTTGGTCCCATCCTTGCGCCACCTTTTAGAGATTTTTGTGTGAAATCATCCGTTCACCGCACCAAGCCACACATACAACTACACGAACAAATAGTTTACACGATTCGCATATTGATTTACAAAATAACCATATATTTAATACTTCTATATTGGCAGTAACCTATCTGCTCAATGTGATTGGATTCAGCAGCCAAATGAACGTTTTGCGCATGCGCAGGTTTACCTTGTATTAGCATCTGTGAATATATGTGACAAATTCAATCGAATTTGACGTAGCGCTTGAAAATAAATTTGAAGGGGATTATTTTACTATGTCCCTTTGTTT